AAAAAAGGCAGAGTTACAGAGAGATACAGAGAGAGAGATTGAGATCTTTGATCCACAAGTTCACTGTCCAGGTGGTCATAGCTGTGCCAGGCCCAAGCCAGGAGCCAGGAGCTCCATCAGGGTCTCCCACGTGGATGCAGGGGCCCAAGCACCTGCACCATCTTCCAGGGAATCCGATCGGAAGTAGAGCAGCCGGGACTCGAACTGGCCTCCCAATGGGACGTCAGCGCTGCAGGCAGCGGCTTAACCCTGGATGCCACAGCGTCCACCCGTTTCATTCACATTTTTTTATAAAACAGCTGGGCTGCCCTAATTTAGTTACTATTTTTCATGCGCTTTACTAACTGCCCCGCTGCGCGGAGACCCCAGATGCGCGGCAGGAAATGGACACACCGGGGAGGGGTCGGGGGTCTTAGGGCTGCGCCGTGGGTGAGGGCGCCTGGAGCGCTTGGGAAGGGGCGTGACGAGAAGGGGCGGGGCTACGGCGGTGGGCGTGCCCCGCCGTCCAGGCCCCGCCTCCTCACGCGGGCGGAGGCTCCGGGCAAGCAGCGCGCGCGGCCGGGCCCTCTGCGGAGGCGCGCCTCCTCCTCAGCGGGGCCTCCTGGGTGGTCGAGGCGTACTCTAGCACGGTCGCGCGTGGGGTCGCGCGTGCTGCCGCGGACACTGTGGCGAGGGACGCGGGGCGCCGAGGCTCTGCCTGGTGCAGGCGGGGAGTCGCCGCCGGGGTCTCCGTGCTCCCCACCTCCCCGGCGTGGCGCCTCGCGCGGGGTCCTGGGCCGAGGCGCGTGCGCCCGGGGTCCGAGGTGCTGGGGGGCTCGGGGCGGACCCGCACCGTTCCCGGGGGGCCTTGTCCGATGTGTGGACGTCGCAGCCCGGCCTCCCGGGAACTGCGGGCTCCGAGCAAGCTTCGGGCTGAAGTGAGTCTGTCCCCGCGGCTGCGCGCTGAGGAGAGGAGGGGGCTCGGGGAGCGGGCCCGGGTCTCTCCCGGAAGACCCCCGCCCCCGCCGCACAGCGGGACCTGAGGCCCCTCGGAGGTCGGGGAAGAGCCCCGGGCCTGAGGTTTGCCCCCTCGCTGGCGGGCCCGGGGGTCGGGGAAGAGCCCCGGGGCCGAGGTTGCCCCCTCGCTGGCGGGCCCGGGGGTCGGGGAAGAGCCCCGGGGCCGAGGTTGCCCCCTCGCTGGCGGGCCCGGGGGTGGCCGGCTGCGGAGCTCTGCCCCTTCGTCTGTCTCGGGACAGCAGGCCCGGCCCTCGGCGCTCGCTCCCTTCCTAGCGCTGTGCAGGACGTGGGCCGCCCAGTGCCCCCCGCCTGCCCGCTGGACGGAGGCTGCGGCGGCCCGAGTGGCTATCAGCTCTGTTTTTACGCAGTTTCCATAAGGAGCCCGCGCCTTTAGGCTGCCTGAGAGCCTGTTGCAGGGTCGCCGCTGGCAGTTGTTAGGAGACTCAGCAGGTGCGGGGCCAGGGCCAGCCCGGCCTCTCATTCTGTGCCTCTTTCCTTCTCCTCCAGAATTGCTCTTCTCAGCGAAATCGTCTGGAGGGCGGCCCAGCGGTCAGCGGGGCCCCAAGGGACAGAGCCGGCCACCTGCCGCTTGTCTGCTTTTCACGTTCTGTACTTTTAGGGGGACATCAGAGAATGAACGAGTCCCGGGTAAGCTTTCTTTACTCCCCGTTTTGTCTTCTAGGGGATTTCAAGGCTTTTCAAGGCGCTCACATGAGCCACTTGACAGAGTGTGACATGGCGACGTACCGGTTGGGACATCTACACCCCACATCAGAGCGCATGCGTTCCAGTCCCGGTTCCGATTCTGATTCCAGCTCCCACTAATGGTGACTCTGGCTCAAGCAGTTGGGTCCCTGCCACCCAGGTGGGACGCCCAGACTGTGTCCCAGCCCAGCGGTTGCAGGCATACAGGGAGTGAAGCAGCAGGCTGGGAACTCTCCCTCTCGTGTCTGTGTGTCTGTCTCTTTCTCTCTGCCTTTCAGATAACTTTTAGGAATGTAGAAGCAGCCACTCGCGGGCAAACGGGGTGAGTGGCTGTGGCTGAGAGCAGGACGCGTGGCCCTGCAGTCACAGGGGTCAGCAAGGGTGAGCCGCGGCCTCCTCCGCCCCTATCTGCTGGCCTTGAGACAGGAATGCAGCCCGTTACTCCCACACGCAGAGCTGCTGGCGCTGGGGTCTGCAGGGCTTCCTGGAGTGAGGAGCTCGTGGCGATGTCCATGTCCCTCGTTGACAGTGGACGGTAGGACTCGACGCGCGGAGAGCTGTCTAATGCCTCTGCCGTTTCCGAAGCTGTTCGTTCGGGAGATTGAAAGAAACAAGCTGTGTGTACTTCAGCTTTGCCTCAACTGGCCGTCGGCTACGCAGCAGATGGTTCAGGCTTGTTTTCTTTGGCAAGTGTTTCTGAATTCTTCCCTTTTTTTTTTTTTAGACTGTGGTAAAATATATGTAACATAAATGTTGCCATTTTAGTCGTTTTTAAATGTATAATTCAAAGCCGGCACCGCGGCTCAATAGGCTAATCCTCCACCTAGCGGCGCTGGCACACCGGGTTCTAGTCCCAGTCAGGGCGCCGGATTCTGTCCCGGTTGCCCCTCTTCCAGGCCAGCTCTCTGCTGTGGCCAGGGAGTGCAGTGGAGGATGGCCCAGGTGCTTGGGCCCTGCACCCCACGGGAGACCAGGAGAAGCACCTGGCTCCTGCCTTCGGATCAGCGTGGTGCACCGGCCGTGGCGGCCATTGGAGGGTGAACCAATGGCAAAAGGAAGACCTTTCTCACTGTCCACTCTGCCTGTCAAAAAAAAAAATGTATAATTCAGTGGAATTCATTAGATTCACAGTTGTCTTATTCCAAGACATTTTTTATCACCTCTGACAAAATCTGCATACCTAGGGTGGGTGGGTGGTGCAGTGGTTAAGGTGATGTTTGCGATGCCTGCATCCCAGATCCGAGTCTGGCTTTGTTTCCAGTTCCAACTTCATTCCCAATTCCAGCTTCCTGCTGATGTGCACCTGGGGAGGCGGCGAATGATTGCTCAAGTCCATGGGTCCCTGCCACCCACATGGGTGACCTGGATTGAGTTCCTGGTTTCTGGCTTCCAGCTGGCTGAATCCCAGCTATGGTAGGCATTAGGAAGTGAACCAGCAGGTAGGACATCACTGTCTCTTTTTGTCTGCCTTTCAAATAACTAAGTAAATAAAATTTTTTTTTGACAGGCAGAGTTAGACAGAGAGAGAGAGAAAGAGAAAGGTCTTCCTTCCACTGATTCACCCCCCAAATGGCTGCTACGGCCGGCACGCTGCGCCGATCCGAAGCCAGGAGCCAGGTGCTTCTCCTGGTCTCCCATGCGGGTGCAGGGCCCATGCACTTGGGCCATCCTCCACTGCACTCCCTGGCCACAGCAGAGAGCTGGCCTGGAAGAGGGGCAACCAGGACAGAATCCGGTGCCCCGACTGGGACTAGAACCCGGGGAGGAGCAACCAGGACAGAACCGGCACACCAACCGGGACTAGAATCCGGGGAGCTGGCGCCACAGGTGGAGGATTAGCCTAGTGAGCCACAGCGCCGGCCTAAGTAATAAAAATTAAAAAACAAAACAAAACCTCTGTGCCCATGTAGTGTAACTACTGTATCCTCACTCCAGCTCCTGGTAACCTCTAAAACACTTTCTTTCTCTAGGGATTCCCCTACACTGGATGTTTTATGTAAGTGGCATCATGAGGTATTTGTCCTCTCACGTCTGCTGCCTTTCACTAAACGCAGTGTTCTGAAGCTTCTTCCAGACCGTGGCACGTACTAGCGCTTTGTTCCGTTTTGTGGCTGAGTAGTTTTTGTGTGTGTGCACTCTGTGTGCCACAGTTTGTTGACCTGTTCTTCTGTTGGGGGCGTTGGAGTTGGTTCCATCTCGGCCGTTGTGACTGATGTGTTCTGAGCACTGGGGTACAGGTGTCTGTCCATTCACATCTCAGCCCACTGTCTGCAGGCTCGAATGTTGGGTCCTGATACAGCTCAGTGGCACAGTGAGTTCAGCTGCTGCGTGGGATGCTCACGTCCTGTGCCGGGGTCCTGGCTCCTCTGCTTCCGAGGCAGCTGCCTGCTAACGTCCCTGCGAATGCAGTGGGCGGTGGCCCAGGTGCTTGGGTCTCTGCCACCCACGTGGGAGACCTCGGTGGAGCTCCTGGCTTTGGTATTGATCTGGTGCAGCCCTGACCATTACAGGCATTTGGAGAGTGAACCAGTGGATGGATGATCTCTGTCTCTCTCTCTCTCTTTGCCTTTCAAATAAAATTTTAAAAACATACTTTTCTTTCCCCTCAAAAGTAAGAAACCGTCTGGGCCTGCAGCTTTCTTTGTGTGACGTTGATTAACTACACATTCAGTTTCTTTGAAAGGTACTCAGATTCTTTCTTCTTTAGTGATCTGTCTGTGTCTTTCAAGACATTGTCTTATCTTTTTGTTTTAATATTTTGTTATATTTGTATAAACAATTCTTGTCTTTTTTTTTAAGAATTATTTATTTGAAAGAGTTACGGAGAGAGGTCGAGACAGGGAGAGAGGTCTTAAATCTGCTGGTTCACTCTCCAGATGGCCACAACGGCCGGAGCTGCACCGATCCGAAGCCAGGAGCCAGGAGCTTCTTCCGGGTCTCCTACATGGGTGCACGGGCCCAGGGACTTGGGCCATCTTCCATTGCTTTCCCAGGCCACAGCAGAGAGCTGAATCGGAAGTGGAGCAGCTGGGACTTGAACCAGCGCCCACATGGGATGCTGGTGCTTCAGGCCAGGGCTTTAACCCACTGCACCACAGCACCGGCCCCTGTCTGTTTTCTGTTCTCTATTTTCTTCTGAGTACTTAGGTTTATTTTTTTTTTATTTTTTATTTTTTATTATTATTTTTTTTTGACAGGCAGAGTGGACAGTGAGAGAGAGAGACAGAGAGAAAGGTCTTCCTTTGCCGTTGGTTCACCCTCCAATGGCCACCGCGGCCGGCGCGCTGCGGCCGGCGCGCTGCGGCCGGCGCACCGCGCTGATCCGATGCCAGGAGCCAGGAGCCAGGAGCCAGGAGCCAGGTGCTTTTCCTGGTCTCCCATGGGGTGCAGGGCCCAAGCACCTGGGCCATCCTCCACTGCACTCCCTGGCCACAGCAGAGGGCTGGCCTGGAAGAGGGGCAACCAGGACAGAATCCGGCGCCCCGACCGGGACTAGAACCCGGTGTGCCGGCGCCACTAGGCGGAGGATTAGCCTAGTGAGCCGCGGTGCCGGCCGGTTTAATTGAGTCTGTTTCTAGTTTCCATGGGTGGAAGGAGAGTTAATTGTGGAATTTTCTTTTCCCTTTTTTTTTTTTTTTTAAAGATTTATTTATTTATTTGAAAGGCAGAGTTACAGAGAGGCAGAGAGAGAGAGAGAGAGAGAGGTCTTCCATCTGCTGGTTCACTCCCCAGATGGCCTCAACCTCCAGTGCTGTGCCGATCCGAAGCCAGGAGCCAAGAGCTTCCTCCGGGTCTCCTATGCGGGTGCAGGGTCCCAAGGACTAAGGCCATCTTATACTGCTTTCCCAGGCCATAGCAGAGAGCTAAATCGGAAGAGGAGCAGCGGGGACCAGAACCGGTGCCCATATGGGATGCCAGCGCCCCACAACAGGGCATTAGCCTGCTGCGCCACAGCCCTGCCGCCCCCCCCCCTTTTTAAAGGTTTATTTAATTTATTTGAAAGACAGAGTTACAGAGAGAGTTAGAGACAGAGAGAGAGGTCTTCCATCACTGGTTCACTCCACAAATGACCACAATGGCCAGAGCTGAGCTGATCCGAAGCCAGGAGCCAAGAGCTTCTTCCAGGTATCTCATGTGGGTGCAGGGGCCCAAGCACCTGAGCCATCTTCTGCTGCTTTCCTAGGATATAACAGAGAGGTGGATCGGAAGTGGAGCAGCCAGGACTTGAACCAGTGTCTGTATGGGATGCTGGCACTGCAGGTGGCAGCTTTACCTATTATGCCACAGTGCTGGCCCCCAGTTTTGTTTTCAGTCTGTTAGTTTTTGGTTCCTGTGTCCGGAGTCTCTGTTACCAAGTCTACCTACTGATTGACCCCTCTGTTCCCTCTTTCCTGGAAAGTGTTTTTGTTTTGAATTCTCTTAATCTGGGTAACAGGGGCTGGCATCATGGTGCAGCGGGTTAAGTTGTTGCCTGTGGTGCCCGACACTGGTATACCATGTGAGTGCAAGAGCCAGGAGCCTGGAGCTGCATCCAGGTCTCCATGTGAGTGGCAGGGGCCCCAGCGCTTGGGCCATCTTTTGCTGCTTTCCCAGGTGCATCAGCAGGGAGCTGAGTAGGAAGTGGAGCAGCTGGGACTCGAACCTGTGCTCATATGAATGCTGGTGTCACAGGTAGTGAATCAATCCACTGTCTCACAATGTGGCCTCCACTATTGGCTTTTTTAAAAAAGTTAATTTAGGTTTGCATACTCTTTTTTTTAAATAAATAATTTTATTTATTTGAAAAACTGAGTGACAGGGAGAGAGGACTAGACAGACAGAGATATCCTCCATCTGCTGGCTTACTCCACAAATGCCTGCAACAGCTGGCCAGACCAGTCTAAAGCCAGGAGCCGGGAACTCCTGTATCTCCCCATGGGTAGCAGGAACCTAAATGCTTGGGCCATTATCTGCTGCCTGCCAGGGGTATAAGCAGGAAGTTGGATCAGAAGTGGAGGCGGGGCCGGTGCTCTGGTGAGTGGGTAAAGCCACAAATGTGGTGGCAGTGAATTCTCTGAGTTTGTTTTTTTTTCCTGTATATTTAAATCTTGGTTTGCAGGGTTTTCTCCTTCAGCACTTCCTGTGGCTTTGCTGTTGTGTAGCGTTCTGTTTCTGATGGGAAACAGCCTCAGCGTTCTCGTCTTAGTTTCTGTGTGTGGACTAGACCTTATTTTTCCTGGCTGTGTCCAAGAGTCTTCTCTTTGTCACTGATTTTCAGCAGTGTTTTTATGAATGCTGTGTTAGTGTGGTTTTATTTATGTTTATTCTCCTTAGGGTTCTATGAACTTCTTTTTGGATTTACAATTTTCATTAAATTTGGAAACAATTTTGGGCGTAATTTCTTCAAATATTTTTTCTGTATGCCCCTAGCCCCGTCTTCAGTGATCTCAGCCCACCTGATGTTGTCCCACAGCTCAGTCAGTGATGCGCCCCGTCTCTTCCTTCTCCTTCCCTGTGGGCTGCGTTTTGGGTAGTTTTTATCGCTCTATCTTTTGGTTTAACTGATAATTTCATTTTTTCTCCTGAGGTCCCTCATGTGCTATAATTCCTTTTTTGTTTCAGTATTATTTCTAGAAATTTCAATTGAGTGGTTTTTTAAAAATCTTTCCTTTTTCTCATAATCTTCATGTTTCTGTGTTTTTGTGCATGTGGTAACACATAGTTATGTGTGGCTGTTTAAATTATGTTCACATGAACTATAAGCAAATTAAGATTTTAAAAATTTCGTCAGTCATCCCTCCCACAGTTCAAGTGCCCACGATCCGTGGGTGGCTGGTGGCTTCCTGCTGTGCTGATGTGGAACATTTCGTCACAGTGGGAAGTTCTGGTCAGCACCACAGTCGAGAGCATTTCTCCCAGAATGCAAAGGCGTGTGTGAGCCCTGGGGATTGTGTGCATGGCTTGTTGGCCCCTCATGGTGACACCTGCCGCCCCTCCCAGGGAGGACACAGGGTACTCCAGTGCCCTGAGAGGAGTCAACAGTAGGTTGCTACATTTAATCTGTTTTGTTTTTTTTTAATTAAGATTTATTTATTTGAAAGGCAGAGTTACAGAGAGGCAGAGGCAGAGAGAGAGGTCTTCCATCTGCTGGTTCACTCCCCAAATGGCCACAATGGCTGGAGCTGCGCCAATCCAAAGCCAGGAGCCAGGAGCTCCCATGTGGATACAGGGGCTCAAGCACTTAGGCAATCTTCTACTGCTTTCCCAGGCCACACCAGAGAGCTGGATTGAAAGAGGAGCAGCTGGGACTTGAACCAGTGCCCATAGGGGATGCTGGCACTGCAGGTTGCGGCTTTACCCACTGGGCTACAATGCCGGTCCCTACATTTAATCCTTAATCTGGAAAAAAGATAAATTAAGCTTATTATGTGAATTGGTAAAATGTATATAGTTAAAAGTAAGTCAGTTGGAGCTGTTCAAGACCGTATTGCTAGGATGATGACGTATTTTGGAGACTGCTAAGCTGGGAGAATAAGTCCAGATGGCTGAAAAATCTTGCAGAATACTGCTGCAGCTCTGTCTTGTCACAGCCTTTCACCAGTCTCCTGTGTGCTCTGTGGTTTTTATGCCTCTTTATCCTTGCTCAAGTAATTGTCCACATTAATGAAGACATATATATATATATATATATATATATATAATATACAATGTTCTATTCAATGAAATCTGACCTAATATGAATTAGAACTGTATTTTCTACCATTATTTTACACCGACTGTAAATGATTCTAGCATAGCTATCATAATGTCTTAGTACAGGATAAATGCATGATATATATCTCCTTACTAAAATGTAAGCTCCTTAAAGGTAGATAACAATGGTATTAAGTTTGGTATTCCTGGAGCTGGTGCTGTGGCGCAGCGGGTTAACACCCTGGCCTGAAGCACCGTTATCCCATATGGGCGCCGGTTCTAGTCCCGGTTGCTTCTCTTCCTATCCAGCTCTCTGCTGTGGTCCGGGAAGGCAGTAGAGGATGGCCCAAGTCCTTGGGCCCCTGCACCTGCGTGGGAGACCTGGAGGAAGCTCCTGGCTCCTGGTTTCAGATTGGCGCAGCTCTGGTCATTGTGGTCAATTGGGGAGGGAACCAGCGGATGGAAGACCCCCCCACACACACACCTCTCCACTCTCTCTGTAACTCTGACTTTCAAATAAAATAAATACATTTAAAAAAAAAAGTTTGGTATTCCTGCTAAACTAGGGCAGTTTCAGATGTATGGTAAGAACTTTCTCTTTGTTTGAATTAATAAATCAGGTATCTCTATCATGTGATCTCTTAATTTCACACAGCAAAACACAGAATAAGATACACAATAGGCAACCTACCTATCCTTTATGGTAAACTCTTAGAATTGTTTCCCATGTCTCTTTCATGTTGCCTGATGCTGATTGGTGGATTGAACAGGAGTGTATTGCCCAGGGATCCGTGTCCTTCAAGGACGTGACCGTGAACTTCACCCAGGAGGAGTGGCTGCAACTGGATGGTGCTCAGAGGACCCTGTACCGCGATGTGATGCTGGAGAACTACAGCCACCTGGTCGCCGTGGGTGAGGCGTTTTCTCTGCTTAGCGCCTAGCGGTGTGTGTTTCCTAGTTTGTAGCTGCTACGATTTGTAGGGCCTTTATGGAGTTGAATGTATACCTCTCTGGGGTCGGAGATGGTGTGTAGAACATGTTTGCATCTCTAACAGGAGGTTCCATCAGGCACCTGTGGGACTCCGGAAGCTGTGCTGTCCTATCTCAGTGTGCATCGGCAGTCTCACGCTCTATTTTGTTCACAGGATGCTGCATCACCAAACCAGATGTGATCTTCAAGTTAGAGCAAGGAGAAGAGCCATGGACGTTAGATGCAGGATTTGCAGGCTGGGCTTATTCAAGTGAGTTGGTGATTACCTGGCAAAATAAGGAAGCCAGTGGACGTCAGGCCCCAGATGGGTTGGCTCAAGGGTGTGAACCTTCAGATGATCTCTGTAACTTCTGTGTGAGGACCTTAGACCTTTGGCAATAACTCAGAGCAGCAAGCCAGCCGGATGTCTTGGGTAACCTGAATTAGTCTTGCGTCTGTCACTCATAGCTTCAGCTGCTTTCTTTCTGCTTAATTGTTAGGGAAGTTCACCATTCTTCTACCCAGGACCTCTGCTTCATTTGACACCTTTGTTCTAGTCTCTCTAGCATTCATTTCCTCTCCATTTTCATGAAGTGTTTGTTTTTTGTTGTCTGCCTCCGGGATTAGTTAATTCTGCAGACATTCACTGCAGGGCTACTGGTGTCTCTCAGGTCCTTGATGTTGGGGATATGATGGTGAGCAGAACAGTGGCCCTGAGCACTCAAGCTGCAGGTACTAAGTAAGTTTACATGCCCAGCAGTGACGAGATGATGAAGAAAGTTAAAATAGGCTATTTAAAAAGAGACAGGAAGTGGGGTGTGTCTTTAAAAAAAAAGTTTATCATCAGTTTGAAAGGCAGAGAGAGAGAGATCTTGGATCTGTTGGTTCACTCCCCCAGTGTCCACAATAGCCAGGCTGTTCCACTGCAGAACCAGGTGACTTGAGCTCCATCCAGGTCTCCCATGTGCGTGGCAGAGACTCAAGCACCTGAGCCGGTATGCCTCCTGTGATGCGTTAGCAGGAAGCTGGATTGGAAGTAGAGCAGCTGGAACTTGAACTAGCACTTTACTGTGGGACGCAGGCATCTCAGACGTCAGCGTCACATACGGCACCCTGCTGCCCACCCCTGGGTGTGCTCTTTTAAAAGGCAGTCCAGGAATGCAGATGCTGATTGAGATGCCGCACATCCCACATTACAGTACCTGGGTTCAATGCCGGCTCTGCTTCCTGATTCCAGCTTCCTGTTAATGTAGACCGTGGGAGGCAGTAGTGGATGGCTCAAGTAGTTGAGCTCCTGCCAGCCTCACCAGGAGACTTGATTGAGTTTCTGGCTCCCAGCCTGGTCCATTTCCTGGCCTTGGGTCAATGCAGGCATTTGGGGACTGAACAAGTGGACGAGAGATTTCTCTATCTAAAATAAAAGGTGCTCAGAGTATGTAGTTTTTTAAATGATTTTTTATTTATTTATTTGACAGAGTCATAGACAGTGAGAGAGAGAGACAGAGAGAAAGGTCCTCCATCCGGTGGTTCACCCTCCCAAAATGGCCGCAACAGCTGGAGCTACGCTGATCTGAAGCCAGGAGCCAGATGCCTCCTCTTGGTCTCCCATGTGGGTGCAGGGGCCCAAGCACCTGGGCCATCCTCCACTGTTGTCCTGGGCCACCGCAGAGAGCTGGACTGGAAGAGGAGCAACCAGGACCAGAACCTGGTGCCCATATGGAATGCTGGCACTGCAGGAAGAGTATTAACCTAGTGTGCCATGGCACCAGCCCCTAAGATTTTATTAATTTGAAAGGCAGAGCAAAATCTTCTATCTGCTGGTTGATTTCCCAAATGGTCACAACAGCCAGATCTGAGCCAGGCTGAAAGTAGGAGCCAGAAATTCTATCCTGGTCTCACACATGGATGTTAGGGGTCCAGGGGTCCAAGTACTTGGGCTGTCTTCCTTTGCCTTCCCAGGTGCATTAGCGTGAAGCTGGATCAGAAGTAGCGCAGCTGGGTCTTGAACCGGCACTCCCATGTGGGATGCCAGCATCACCAGCAGCAACTTAATCCACTGCACCACAGTACTAGGCCTTTTTGGCTTATTTTGACATGTAATTTGTGTTTGTAATTTTTACCTGTTTTGAAATGCTACTTAATTGCTCTAGCTGACATCAATCTCTCCTTTTTAGCATTTTCTTTTCACTTGATGGCTGAGTTAAAAGAAATTGATGTGGTTGTTTGCAGTAAACCGTCTGAGCATATGGTTGTTACTAGAGGTGTTGGTCCCCAACTACAGAGTCTGCATTTTTATTCTTCTTTTCATGTGTGACATGTAGTTGATATGCTCACCTAGTAGTACTGACTTTTTTTTGGTAAAGGTTTTATTTATTTGAGAGGTAGAATTACAGACAGAGAATGGGAGAAACTGAAAGGTCATCCATTTGCTGGTTCACTTCCCAAATGCTGTGATGGCCAGAGTTGGGCCAATTTGAAGCCAGGAGCCAGGATATTTCTTTGAGTCTCCCACATGGGTGCAGGGGCCCAAGCACTTGGGCCATCTTCCACTGCTTTCCCAGGCCATAAGCAGAGAGCTGGATCAGAGAGGAGCAGCTGGGACATGAACCAGTGTCCATATGGGATGCTGGCACCGCAGGCGGAAATTTAGCCTACTATGCCACAGTGCCAGCTCCAGTACTAACATTTTTATTCAGAAAGTATTTTCTAAGTAAATAGACCTACACATTCCTTTAAATTCTGATTAATAGGGTAGATAGATGGACATTGCAGTCTACTCTATTTTGAATAAAAGTTTCTAAGTTCCTGGTATAATCTTCTTGAAGACCAGCAATGATATATCTTTGCAGAGATATACAACTGGAGAGTCCAGCGCTGCACTTACTAGGCTAATCCTCCACCTTGCGGCGCCGGCACACCGGGTTCTAGTCCTGGTTGGGGCGCCGGATTCTGTCCCAGTTGCCCCTCTTCCAGGCCAGCTCTCTGCTGTGGCCCGGGAAGGCAGTGGAGGATGGCCCAAGTGCTTGGGCCCTGCACCCCATGGGAGACCAGGAGAGGCGCCTGGCTCCTGCCTTCGGATCAGCGTGATGTGCCGGCCGGCAGAGTGCCAGCTGTGGCGGCCATTGGAGGGTGAACCAACAGCAAGGGGAAGACCTTTCTCTCTGTCTCTCTCTCGCTATCCACTCTGCCTGTCAAAAAAAAAAAAAAAAAAAAAAAAAAAAAAAAGATATACAAT